CCCGGGCAGGGCCCGCCTGAGGCGCAGAGGGGGCTGGGCAGCTGGGCCTGTGCCGGGGCCGCAGGGCGGGCGGCCGAGGAGGGGGTGTTGGGGCTCCCCGTTTAGGCAGCCCCTTCGCCGGAGGGCTGGTGTGGGAAGGGCTGTGGTGTGGGGGGATGGCTACGGGCTGGAGGGCGAGGCACCCGCAATTTCTGTGTTGTAATCAATGGTGATTAGCTGGAGTGACAGGCATTTTAGTGGCGAATGCACGTTAGAGTAAAATGCTGTAGGTGTGACTAGTGGTTAAGGCCAACATAAACACGTACAGTTGTAGGTGACTGGCTTTGGGTGGTTTTAATTGGAGTATCTGAATTGCTTTTTCATTATAATGTTACCTGGCAGCACAGGAGATTGTCTTCATGATACAGGGGACGTGCTTAATTTGAGAGAGATTTGTATGCCTCAGCAGCAAAAGCCCAGGCCGAATCTTGATTTATTTTACCGGTTTCCTGTCAGTAGTTACTTTAGCAGTTGTTTTCTAAAGGTCAATGGTTCTTATTTCTGTTAGGAGAGTCGATGTATAAATTTTAATATGCTGCTAGGTTGACTTGTTGTCAAGTAACTAGTTGATTGAATCACTATAATGAAAAGACTTAACCTGCTGTATAGTTACAAGTGCTACCAGTATAAACACGCTGCAGAAAATACTTTTAGGTGTAGTTTAGCTAAGAAACTCTCCTAAAAGCATATTCTCAAGTATTTCAACTAAGTAATAAGATGATTTGTCAGCAATTTCAAAATGGCTCTGTGCATATATATATATATATATATGTGTGTGTGTATATATAGGCATATAAAGACATATGCAAAGGTATCCACTGGTAAGGAGCTGGGAAGGGGAGGGTTTTGGTTCTTCAGCAAATGTATAGGTTAAATGTTTCCTTTTTTTTAATGAGAATTTTGTTATTATCATGGTAGTGCCTTCACCTGAATGAGCACTTGAGCTTCCCCCCCTCCCCGGTGTAACCTGTGTAAAAGCTGTCCAGTTTCTATAAAGGTACTTGCTGTGTTATCGTAACAAGCCAACGGGGGAGAATATGCCCATACTCTGTCAGGGTGGAAGCGGGTTAAATTGTTTAGGCAAAATATACAGAGAACTCTTACTCTTAAAACCACTTCTGTGGTGACAGGAGTGGGGGTTCTGTTATGTTACAGAGCGATGTGTGTCTATAGATGCCTGAAAGGAGGCTTTTGTGATTGAATGAGGGCTTTAACTCTGCTTTTCTGTCTGTCATCGGATAATCTTTAGTTTGTGAAGGTGCTTTTTCATGTCTCTATTTAAGAAGTGTCCTGAAATGAGAAGTTTCAGTCTAAATGGGAAGACGACTTCAATAAACTTGACAGATTACTTAAAGTTATAAATTAAAATTATGCGTCGGCTACTGAGATTAAACCATGTGAGTATCATCAGTAATTGAAAATTTACTACAGCTATAGAGGTAAAAAGAGAATAACAGGGCTTTAAGCACCTAAGTAGCCTCCGTAGTAGTCCGTTCTTGTGTAGAATTGGTCCTTCAGGAGCTTTTTATTGTTATTGCAAATACTGCTATTGAGATGGGGAATTTGAAGTAATAGTTTTAATGCAAGTTTACTAAACGCTTTGAAGAAGTAAAATAATTCCAATTATATCTTTCGGTATTTCTAATTATGGAATAATGCTTGGTAATTATAGTGTTCATTAGCAATGCTGCAGATGAAATGTTGAGTATGCCATGGTAAGACCTGTAAATGCTTTACTGCAGGAATTCTATATAATAATATGAACAGTGAGGGATAAAATCAACTCAAATCTCAGTAGCAGTTGCCAGGAGAATCATGCTTAAAGACTGAAGTATTGCAAATGTCAGGATAGCTCATGATAACTAGAGCAGGTGGTAAAAGGAGCGTGCGAGTTCTGTTCAGTCAAACCATGTTTGGAGAAGAATGTGCTTTCAGCGCTGTACAGGACACAGACAAAAAAGGAGTATTGCTTTAAAACTAAGAGAAGAGGGAAGCTAGTAAGAACTGAAAAAGAATAGCACTGAAAGAAAGTAACCTTATTTTCCATGTTGCCACAGCTCCCTATCCGTCAGCCATTCTCTCTCCCTCTCCAATTGAATATTCCTTGTTACTACCACATGTCACCAAAGTTTCTCTGAAACTCGATTTCTAAAAGGAACTGCTAACTACTACTTAGATTTCACGGAGGGGGCAGGGTTTCAAATACAGTGTTCCAGCATTTTCCCATGTAGTGCAGATTTAACTTTCAACCATTTCTTATTGAGCTATTACACTGGCAATCACAAATTATATTAGCCGATTAGCAGAGTTAACTCTGCAGAGTTAAATGGGTGAGAAACTTTTACTTTGTGGCTTTTACTGGCTTCTAGAGTGTTCATTCAGTTGTGTGGCTTTTTATTTAAGCTAGATTTACTAATGGAACTTGGAATGTAACCATCTTCACATTTCAAGTGTTGACTCTAGCAGCGGACTGAACTTTGAAAAGCTCATCATGGTGTTGGGATTAATCTTAATAACTGTATAGAATAATCAGAATAAATTAGCGTATTCTTCCCTGAGCTGAGTTACTTTGGAACTAAGTTCTGGTCTTTGGGGAGGAGTTTTTTCACTAATAAGCTGTTAGTATTTCCAAGTCTTGCTTTTAAGCTAAATCTGGTATTGGCACAACAATGAGAACAGAAATGCTGCAAAGATTACCAGCATGCAGAGGGAGGAGCATGGAAAATCTTATATCAGAGACTGACTCATCCAGAAGATTATGTTGGAAAGATACCTTCCTAGTATCCCTTATTCAAAATATTAATGGTCAGCATATTTCAAGCTTTTATAACGGGGAAAGTTCATGAAGTCGTTTAAAAAGAAAAACAGCTAAGGACCGTATAATAAGGGAAGGTATTAGGGAAATACCCAACGTTTTCATTTGACAATTGCTGTAGATCTTTTAAGTGAATTGCTGTCCTGTATTTGAGAATAATTAAGTGGCAAGAATGGCTTTATTTATAATGAAACTGGCTAATAACAGTTCCTGAAAAATATTTTTGGTTTTGCTGTTACCGTAGTTTCACAGAGGAAATTCAACTAATAGACAAGTTTCAAGTAATATGGATAGTGCTATGGCTTGACATAAAATGTGACATTTAAGTAGCAATGCAGAGACCCAGAGCGCTTTGCTTTGTTCTTTTGCGTGCCCTGGGAGACTTTTGGGTCTTCTAATGTGTTTCTGCTTTCTGTCTTGATTAATTTAAGGTTTCTGCAGAGCAGATTAGCGGGTGGCTCTTTTTGAAGGAAATTTTGTAGCCCGGCATGCGTTAATGCTGTAACAACTTTAATACAGGCTGAAGATAGCTGGCGTGAATGACCAAAGGGCACATGTCAGGGGATATCTTTAGCAATATTTGTAGCTTTTGGCCTGCTGCGTGAGTGAAGAGGTTTGGAAATAGTCAGTATTGATCGAGGTTAACATCTTTAGCTGACTTACTGAAGAAGTTCTAGAGTCAAAATGGGATTTTAAGAATCTGTGTTCATCTGGATATAATTTGATAGATGACGTATTTTAGGGATTCCCTGTTCTGAACTTTAGGCTAACGTGCAAGGTCTTGGATTGTCGTCTTGTGTTTGAGCCACTCCGAAATGCCTGGTCTGAAAAAGTCTAACATGCATGTCGGCCTTACGTCTCCTAGTGGGTGCACCAAAGTAATCATCTGGTAGTTCTTGAAAATGTCCATCTGTAAAACTCTGCGTGTGTTGCGGACAGAGCTGCGCAGACATGCAGTTGTTTTACTGGATTTGCCAAGTGTGACCTGTGACAACTGTAGTAGTATTGTATTGTTCTGCTCACCTTCGTAATTAACTTATACAGTGAGTTTAGAGCTGTGTAAATGTTATGCTTGAATTGCTTAGTCTTGTGACGTAGTACTTCGGTGCTATGTTGTGAGAGTATAATTATGCTGGTGGAGAGCTGATTCCTCTGCAGAGTGGGCATGCAGTTACGCTATCGGATATTGCAGTTAAAACTTTGACCAGTGCTGTTTTTTCAGTGGAGCACACCTTGCCAGCACTATTGTTCTGGTGCATCTTTATAGAGCGCAGACCGTAACAGAGACCAAGTTGACAAGAACAACCCCATTATCTAAGGAAACGGGACATGGAAGAAAACTTCCCTGCCCCCCTCCCTAACCTGATGTCCATATTGCAGGTTCCCATTCAGTTCTGTTGTGGGGCAGTTCCTGTAAACTTGATGTCTGTCAAGTTTGCTTGATTCCAGGTTAAGAACATTATATAGCAGTTTTCTTTCATATTAATGGTAAGTTCCTGATGTCCCA